AGGTGAAAAATTATATTCATGTGTTCATTTACATTTAGTAGGCCAAAATTGAAAAGGAAAGAATTTTCCAGTTTACCATATAGCTCAAAACTTTCGAGGGTAAAAACTTTCGTGAATGAGTGAAAAGAGAGATATTCACGATTAAAACTTTTGTGAATGGCCCAGGTCCATTGCATTGAGGGTGTGGCTAGCAGCTCCATAATTAAAGAATGGGAGAGCTCCCACAGCATCAGGCAAAGGAAAAGCATGACTGTAAGAGAGTTTTGGTCTTCTTTCTTCGAGGTACAGCTAATAGAGGCCATTTTAGACTGTAAAGACACATGTGCTCACAAGCCCACGCCTACTTGACCACACCCCTTTGAATTTTCGAGATGAAAACTTTTGCGTTTAAGGCCTAAACCGCGAAATTTGCATAAGTTTTCAGCCTCGAAAGTTTGAGCTATATGGTATTTGATGCATATACATATTCTTATGTTGTGTAGAAAGTTTGAGCGCATTCTGGTCAAACTTAGATTTTTTATGAATTTTTAAGTTGCTCCGAAATCAGACAAAAGTCCCTGTATTATACTACAGGGTCATTGGTAAAATTTTGCTAAAAATGAATAGGAAAAAATTTCCCATTTTTATAATTTTATCTGATGCATATACATGAACTTATGTTGTGTAGAAAGTTTAAGCATGTTCCGTTCAAAATTGGATTTTTAATGAATTTTTGAAGTTGCTCCAAAATCATGTCAAAAATGAAAAGGAGAGAATTTTCTATTTTTATAATTTTAATTGATGCATATACATGTTCTTATATTATGTAAAAAGTTTGTGCTGATTCCAATCAAGTTAAAATTTTTAATGAATTTTTAAAGTTGCTCCTAATGCCATGTACTGTATTGTATGTAGTGCTTGTCAGCTCATGAAGCTCATGCTGTTTAGCTCACTTTCATGTACATGTACATGTATGTACATGTAGCATCACAAAAGTACATGTACATGTATAATCCACATAAGTATAAATTACTGGCTATTCACATAAAAAATTTGGGCCACAAAAATATTAAAATATGATTAAAAATAAAATTTGATGAGAAATACCGTTTCACTGATATCTTGTCTCATCATTCTCCTCCTTCTGGTGGCTGGCTCAAATTCTACAAAATTAAAATAAATTAATTAAAAATAATAAATTATTTAATAATCATCACCTCGTCCTTTCTTGTCAGACTTTCTTTTTGTCCCGGTCTTTCTCTGCTTCCTAAAGAGTGGGTGTGGTCAATTCGTTGCCATGGATACTTACTCAACGAGAGGATGCTGCTGCTGAAGCTCTTTTTGTTTCTGAAGATTCGTGTCGTTAATTTTGAGAACTCTTGATTCAGGAACCCACTCATCCCAACTAATGGAAGATAAAACTATGAATTCAAGGACTCCACAATACTGGATAAAAATTTAGCCGAAATCCCTGTACTATAGTACAGGGACTTTTACCTGATTTATGAGCAACTTTAAAAATATTTGTAAAAATACAATTTTCAACTTTCTACGCAACATAAGTACATGTATATGGATCAAAAAAAATTATTAAAATGGAGAATTCTTGCCTTTTTATTTTTGACAAAATTTTTGGGCCAAATTTTAAAGCAATTTAAAATTTGATACAAATCACAGTATAATTATTTTGACTTGACTTCATTTCATTTAACGCCAAACCTTAGCTACAATTACACGCATATACATGTACATGTACACTTTGGGTGGGTGGTCCGACTTACGATTTGCTCCACCCACTGTAATGAACAAGATATTGCAAAGACTTGTCTTTCATTTGAATCTTATTAATCTATTTTAAAATATTATAATTATTATATACATTTAATATTATTATTATTCTACTTTTGCTTCATATATGAGTGGTCCATGGTAGCAGAGTACTTTCTCTCCCTCGCCCAGTTTGTCAGATTTCTGTTTATTACCCGCTCCACTTCCTCCAGGCATCACAAATCCAGTTACAACTTAGAAAATGTCTCCAAATTTGATCCCTCAATCTTTAGAGTTAAAAATTATAAAGGCGTGGTTTATAATTATTAAGATAGGAGTGGCCTCGAGTTATTAATTTTGCGGGTGTGGCTCGCTGCATTATTATACGAGTGTATAAAATCCTTCGCTTCTTCTCTCTGCTTTGGTTTCAGGGTCTTTCCTTTAGCTGATGGGCGACAGACCTGCTTTCCAACACAACCTGCAACGCTACAGGACGTCTTATTAACTCTCGCTACAACAGAAATAGCAGATAATGCAAGCTACTTTGACATTTGTTATTTCGTTGCTGCTGTCACTACAGCAGCTTGCTGGATCTACTGCTCATCTCCCTCATCTAACATTTGATTTATTGGATCATACAAGAGGACAAGTCTGCTACAGAACTGCTTCAAAAGTTCAGACTGAACTGCATAATTTTCAGGCTGCAGAACATGGTTATCTCTCAGAAGAGAACATGAAAGACTATCCAAAAAAGCCATCAACAGGTGTGAAATGATAATAAAAATAAATTATGCATTTTATTATTGAATACAGTATCAGCTGATTCCCCTTGCTTTGGAATGCTAGCCACATGCTGTCTGCCAAGGAAAGAGGAAGATCTAAAGAACGCTGTGAGAATGGAATATCAAAACAAGCTGCAAAATGCATTTGAGAAAAGAGCCGAACAAAAATGCAGAAAAGCAGGACGAGACTTTGAACGTAAGAAAAAACCCACACTGCACAATATGCTACTAACTACTGTATAATTAAGTTGTAGTGGGAACTGGTACATAATGCATTACCATAATTATTTAATAATAGATAAGTAATTGATTATTGGCGTTGACGTAAAGGGACATGCATTAGTGGTGTGTTTTTGTCTCGTGAGAAATTATGTTTGAGGGCAGTAAACGAGAATCACTTACACTGCACAACAACTCCTCATTAGCTTGTACTGTCTGTATAGTGAGTGGTAAATTATGTATTAATGATGTATTAATGGTGTTCAGTGTTCACAACTGCAGCTTTAAAAATGCGTAGTGTGTACCGTATGAGATAATACTGTGGTTTTGAATGCGCAGGAAATTATGCATGAATGGCTTCCTATTAGAGAAGAAAGACTTTGCCCTTATTCAATCACATAATAGACCAGTCTTATGCTTTGATGTAGAATAATAATAACAATAATAATACTAAATTTATGCTATGATTATAAATACAATGGATTCTGCATCTATTAATTATGAGTTGTTTTGAATGAAAGGGAGATTTCGTGAGCATGTGGCAGATTGAGTGATGATAATAAATTACATTTACTTGGCTCCAGTGCCAAGCCAGCTAGGCCTTCTCCCTTCTTCTCTCCCCCTCTCTCTCTTATCTCTCTCATATTGATTTACACTAGATAGTGTTAGTTTACACACCTAAGCCTTTCCTGTCCGTATAGTACACAGGACTATAGTGCATGTTATATGGAGCATTTGCATGTACAGCAATGATAAGAAACCATATCAAGGAATGAGAGTAAGTGCTGGGCTGGACAATGAGTGCATGTTTATAAAGGAGGAGGGAGTGCCCGAGGTTGACTTTAATTATATTCATAGACATTAAAGGATTTTCTAAGAGGCTGATAAGTGCCTCTGGACTGATATACAGCTACTTAGCGCCACTTAGCACAATGAAAACAAACACTTAGCTATTGATTTTCAGTGTTGAGCTGGATTTTAAATAGAATAATCTTAATCTATCCTTAAGTAATAACATTCAACTAAATAAAGTGCTTTTTATGTCTTTTTAATCTAAATCTTCCCTTGCTGTTATATGATATGTCTTTTATTAAATTAGGTGTGCTTTATGGTAACATAAAAGGCTCAATCAAGTTGCTAAGAGAGGAGCTGTCTGGCATAATGGTTACAAACATCACTCAAGAACTATTTCAAGACTTTTCAGACTACTTGTACAAGTTTGTGTTCTCGCGTGACTTCTGCCCACTGAGAGACATCGCAGAGCAGCAGCTAAGTAAAGTATTCAGAGTTGCTTATCAGACAGGAGAGATTGAAGACCAAAGTCTGCTGCTATTGGGGACAAACAATAAAGACTCGTGTTTCGATAGTTTGGAGACATATTTCGTGACAACATGGCTCAACGATACGGTCCAGAGTTTAGTCCAAACACTAAACAGCATCAGACTGATAGCAGAGACTTTTGAGCTGGTACAATCGATAGTGACTGATGTGAGAAGACACAAGTGGGGCCCGGAATGTGTTTCCGGTCTATTCACCATAAGACACTGTGCCTATTGTATTGGATATGAAAACTTCCACCACTGTGATGGTAACTGCCTTAATGTCCTAAGAGGATGTACTGCAGACATGGCTGAACTCCAAAAAGATGTCAAGGACATCCAAAACTTGCTGCTTAGTCTAACAAAGTTAGCCCAATCTGAACTGAGTCCAACAAAACTATTAAAAACAACCTTTGTTAATTACATATTGCTCGGGAAGCACCTCAATCAGTTTAACTTTACAAACGCCGTAAGTGGATTATATCATGTACTATATAATATACCGTAGCCATTACAAAATTACCTTGTATGTAGTATGAGATGTACATGTACGTGCATGTAACTCTCCATCCCACAGTTGACAGGTGTCCTTAGACAGTAAACAATTAGCAGAAACCTTACATCTAGTACTATACCATTCTGCTTTAATCCCTCCCTCTCTTCCTCTCTCTTTCCTTCCATTGTCTCTTTTCTTCTCTCTCTCTCTCTCTTCATAATCCATTTAAATGTATTTTTTTCTCTTTACTCTACAGATTATCTCTGGCACAAACTGCTCTGTTGATGAAAGTGATGAAAAGTCTATCAGACATCTAGACACCACTTTGCAATACATAAACGTCACAAATTTTGAAACAACCTCGACTAATAGCATACTGGCAGCTGTTAGGAATGATTTGGATTGTTTCAAAGACTTACAGTCCCTACTATTGGAACTACCAGAGGAAATATGTGGAGTGAACCCACACCATTTGGCATACATGAGAGACAGGGAGTGCTGGAACGGGACAGACAGAGGAAGGTAAGCAGACATAGCACATCCAATAATCATAATAGCATAAACCATAAATAATATGCTACATGAAGTATAGTATCAATATACATGTACCTTGTTTCATGTAGTATTATACCATCCATGCATAGTTGGATACCAATAATATTTGCAAAGGGATTACACTTCAAAGGAATTAGTTCTTAGGCTACATCTGTCCCCCTAGTACTTAACAATCATATTAAGTTATACACTCCATACATTGATGGTCATTATTAGGCTGTAGCAGTGTACTTTTATTTTCTGTGTAAGAGGAAATGGTCAGTGTATTCCTACCACTTTAAAAGGAGCGATGCCATTATCACTTGATAGCTTTGCATGCAATATTCACACACCCACTACCAGTTCCATATTATTAACACACTATAAAAATACAATACCAACCCAATACAATGTGAAGCAGTACTTCACAATATGTGTACATTGTGTTTTTAAAAATTAGTTTATTCAGCTGCTCCACGTCAAGTTCTGGCTTCAGTACTATTATTATTATTATTATTATGTTAAAACCTTATAACTGTTCATTGTTATCTGTCGCAAGATCTGACGCTGGTTCTTATTGAATTAAACCATACAATGACATAGACAAACTACCTCACTTATTAAGATAATAATTTAAAAGAATTATTAGTACTTTCATACCCACTGCTATTAAATCTCTCCCACTCTCTCTCTCTCTCCTTCCCTCCCTCCCTTTCTCTCTCTATCTTCTCATGTAGTTATTCACATTCAATAGTTGGGCATTACAAAATGGATCAGCTCAACAACCCTGCATTCATAAACCGACCACTCCCAACCAACTCCTCCTTCACCAAAACTCAACACAATATTAAACTAGTCACCAAAGACATCTATCAAACTATAGACTTCTATCAATGCCTCAATGGAGACGATGAAGACTGTAGCACTCGTTTTGTGATTCAGTGTGAACAAACGATACCAACTGAGGACGTAATAGGAAGTGGATCAGGAAGCGGAAGTGGGAGTGGCATGGGCGGGGCTGGTGATCTCGAGAAACACCACACGTCTACTAGTAATCCTTACGTGATCGTACTTGGCGGAAAAAGAAAGATTAACGATTACGAAGACGATGATGACACCATTGTTGCACACACCATAACTAGTACCACCCCAGGACATACAAAAACATCATCAGCTCTCCCTCTATCATCTTCCACTCGAATTCCTACAACTTCTAAGAAATCTATGACTCAAATTTCTACCACACCTTCGCCCACAAAAACATCTCTAAAAGCTTCGTCTGCTAGTATTATTATTAATAATACTCCTGATATCACTCCAGATGGTTATAGAGGGAGTGGTCATGGCATCAGATCCGGACTATTGATAACCATATCAAGTATATTATTTGTATTTATATTCAAACTATTTCTGTACTAAATCATATTCACGACATTCTTTTTAAAACTAGCCACCTTCACCCATTCTACCCTCACAGTCTCGTCTTGTCTTCAGTGACCTCCATTTTGTGTCTTTTTTGTTGCATAACTCTCGTCATTATTACAATATTTCAATATTACTTTATGTATTTTAATAATAATGCTTACAATTAGAATCATGTGTAAAATGTGCCAGTCAATCGTCAACAATATCGTACATGTACATGTATAAATGTACAAGTACATGTTCCTCTTCTCTATCTCTCAGTCAATCTTCACAGTTGAATATATTTTCCATACAAAATAGCTTGCACCAACATACCCAGCAGTGCCTAAAAAATTTGTAAAAAATTATAAAAATTTATTACAAAAACAAAGTCACAATAAAGACCATAAATAAACTGTGATGGTACATGTACATGTACATGTACATGTATTTTCTTACCACATATTATTCCGATTGATAAGCTGCTTAGAGTCGAATAAGAGAAATAAAAGGTTGTCTGGAAGAGGCCGTACATCCTAGAGAAGAATAAGAGAGAGAGAGAGAGAGAGAGAGAGAAAGGTAAGATTGAAGGTAAATGAGATTTTAGGGTGAATGTGTATATGTAAACAAATGAAGTGATGAATGATGTTTACTTTGTTTTAAAGAAGAAGTAGTAGACGGAGTAACACAGAATATAAACAGAAATTGAGGCACTTGATCCAAAACTAGTCCAATACCTTTAAAAATAAAAAATAAATAGAAAAATAAAATCAATAAATAAATAATGTCCTGTGACTCATTCACCTCTTCCAAAGAATTACATGTACATGCATGTATACATGTATGTGTGTGCATTGTGGATCTAGTAACTTCCCTTACATGTATATGTACATTTATATGTACATGTACATTTGTAATTTCTCTTTCCTTTCTCCT